CAACCAGCCTTTTTGTATGGAAATATATCGAGCCAGGCACATATTGGCCGAAAAGGTGCATCAAGTATATCTTGGTCTTTGTATACAGCACTTATCCGTATGAACGTTTCCATTGTATCCGGATTATTCAGGATGTTTAACCTATTTAACAGATAAAAACGTAAGTAATAATAATTTAACGTCAACATTAGGTGGGTTTAACTGAAAGAACCGAGGCGTTAAAACTAAAACGCCTGGGGATGGCCGATCTGTAGTCTTTAGATGAAATGCACCATATTACGATCGTCATCAAACTCACCGACAATAGTTTGACATTTAACATCCTCCACTATTATTAATAATAGTAGTTCCCACGACATGACTGAAATTGGGATTCAGTACTCAGTACCTGTACTCCTTGACGACACACCAAGGACTAGTGTACAAACTGTATAAATTCTTTGCGATAGTAGTTACTAAACTATATATCGCATCATTTACTGGACGGCAGCCCACGCAGCGACGATCGCGACGCTGGCCACCACAGACGCAGCCGACGCGGACGAAGGCTTAGCGGTCGTGGGGGCCGCCGTGGTGGCCGCCTTGGTCGTGGCACCGGCGACAGTCGTGGCCGGCTTGACGGTAGCCGAAATGACGGCGGAAGGGTTGGTGCTGTTGCCGGTCGCGTTGGCAGGGCGGACGGTGGTGGCAGCCACGGTGGTCACCGCGGGCTTGGTGGTGGTGGTTTGGGCAACGGCCACGGCGGCGATGGTAGCGACAGCGAACAAGACTTGCATGGTTACGAGGATGTGTGGGGTTGAGATGTGAATCGGAAATGCTATGACGAGATATGTTGAAGAAGCCGAGTAGTATTACAGTAGTACTACTAGTAGTACTCATAGTACGGGACGACGTGAGTGCCTTGTGCGGCCAATGGGCTGTTTCTGAGATCCTGATAGGGACAGAGGAGACGTGGCATACTCCGGCGTGTCAAGTGGTCGGCTGTTTTTATTTCTCATGGATTATTATTGTTCATGTACATTTTGGTCAATAAAATTGAACAGCTCGACAATTCCATGGTGCACTGTCGACTTCGTTTACAACGTTACTACTAGTAGTACTGAGGTTAAGGAAGTGAAGCATGTATACTATTAATAGTATGTACGTAGTAGTAGCATGAAGCTGTACTATTAATATGGTAGTACAGAACACGTTCAAGGTGTAAGCTTACCATTGATATTGTTGACGTTATTGACGTGACGGCGTTGTGATACCCAGTGTTAACGTATTACTTTTAGTCGTACTACTTCGACGTTAATGCAAACTTGTTCGGCATGTGGCCCGCTGAACATAGCAAACAGCAACCACGCCTCGTATGTAGTGCAATCTCGCCAATAATGAACACAATAATATTAACAGTACTAATGAATTCGATCGTTACAAGGACCTATGCCATTAAATAATGCTATTATAGTATTGTGCTTTTCACTGAAATTTGGACTTCGGGATTGCCTAAATGGCGTAGAAATGTCCTACCGAAGATTCATATATGAATGTCAGTATGGTATAATGAATTCCAGTCATTTACAGGAAAATTGCGCGAGAACTTACAAACCAATCTGCCATGATCTTGCAAAGCGTCGGCACACAACACGCATCGAAGAATACAATCATGCATGCTCTGTATGCATTCTACTTCCTGGGAATGAATCGAGCGGCCATTGCGCGAATATTAATACTCCAGGAGTAGTAAGCATATAAAAATAAATGAACACGCTGTAAGTAATGCCATGTGTCGCTGATTTCGACTTGCCGATGAAGGTGACACCACCGACCACGACCAGCTGGGCCCAGGCCACGGGCCGCACACACACACATTTGCAGCAACGGCCTTCCGATTCCTTCATTTCCGATTCACGTCTCAACCCCACACATCCTCGTAACCATGCAAGTCTTGTTCGCTGTCGCTACCATCGCCGCCGTGGCCGTTGCCCAAACCACCACCACCAAGCCCGCGGTGACCACCGTGGCTGCCACCACCGTCCGCCCTGCCAACGCGACCGGCAACAGCACCAACCCTTCCGCCGTCATTTCGGCTACCGTCAAGCCGGCCACGACTGTCGCCGGTGCCACGACCAAGGCGGCCACCACGGCGGCCCCCACGACCGCTAAGCCTTCGTCCGCGTCGGCTGCGTCCGTGGTGGCCAGCGTCGCGATCGTCGCTGCGTGGGCTGCTGTCCAATAAACGATACCGTAGAACAAGCTGCCGTCATGAATATATATGTAGAATTCCACGAAAATGCAATGCTGAGACTTGTACAGATCTTGAACGAACCAACAGTTGCAAAATGGTCGACAGTCTCAAGTTGGTATTGTCAAGTCGATTATTCGAAATTGGAGAGGGTTGCTCAATCGAATGAGCACCAAAGAGGCAGAAAATCGATCGACCAATCAAAACCCAAAACCCGAATAAACTAGCCAATCAAATCCACTCTTAGAGCAATACAGCATCGAATTATCGTAAAAATTCAATTTACATGCGTCCGAAACTTGGGAGACTATTGTAAAAGAAAAAAACACATATTAAGAGCATCCCCACCGGCTGATGTAGAAATGTAAAAATCTTCAAAGTACATCACTACATCAGCAAAATTTACATTTTTCAGCCCCACACCGGTTGCCAATAAATTTTACATCATGATGTAAACGCTCCATAAACACAGATTTCTCAACAGATCTGTTGGGTCATTTACAGTTCTATGCGATTGAGGTCCCAATGGACTTCTTCAACGAAGCATGCCATCCCGATGTCCTGAAGCACGCCGGCAGCATGAATATGAATCTTACAGACAATAGAATGTACGCCAACCTGCTGCACTAGATTCTCCACTGG